CGCTAAGAATAATTATACGGGCCTTTCAAATACTTGGCTTTCGAGTGCGAACCACCCGCAGAGTGCAGTTTGCCCCCCATTGAATTTGATTTTCTCATTAAGAAGAAATCACAATGACCGATGCTAATGTTGAGACTTGGGTAAGTTGGTACATACTTCGGAATTACAAACAGTTCAAAAAGACGAGGACCAGACGAAGAAGTAACAGCGTTGCGTCCGTGTTACTTTTTCTGGTCCCCGTCTTTTTGCGCTCTTTTTAATTCACAATAACCACCGGCATATAGTGTGATGACGTCCCGTACATACCATGTTAAAACGTTTAGCTTCCTGATGAAATGCGATGTTCGCAACACTAGCAATAGAAGTCGTAATTGTAAAGTTGTGCAGTATTTATAGCAGTGTCGCGATGATATGCGGCAGCCTAGAGAAATGTTGGAGCGCATGACTGTTGAAGCATAATGTTGTAAAGTGAGGGCCTAAAACAAGTGCAGGTAGAACGGAATACAACATGGGCCTCCCGAGGCAGTATTTAGCGAAGTTTCCCGCTCATCCAAGCTGATGAAATGTGATTTATATTAGGATTTTAAGAATCCTTGTCTGTCCTTCGCGCTATCTGTATATAATTAGAAATTTCATTGCATGCATTTTTATGCATCATTTTGCAGTAAGGAGTTCTGTAAGTGAATATTTAGAACAATATAATTAAATATCTATATTTTTCACATTTCGTGTATTTGGCTTCCAATGTATGATGTGAGCTCAGAGTCTGATGGGCAGTTTCACACTGCCAATCAGCGAACAAAAACAGGTTTACGCAGACTCAACAGCTCGCGTAGTTTCGAGTATCGTCCTCTCGTGTCGGTTTCAAGCGGTTATGTGAAATTTATAAAGTAAACTTTATTGATAATTATAAAAAATATATATATTTAATTACTAACTGAAGATTTGACAACATAAATAAAGGGCCGACCACCCTAAAGCGATGCCCCCCCTTCCCCCCCCCCCCCCCCTCTCCCCCCGCCAAAAATTATCTGAAGCGTGCTTCGCATATCTTATGCAGCGTTTTTATCCTCGATAGGCACGTTGTAAGTAATATGGGACAGCTTTGAACACATTTCTGATCTTGAAGCAAATTTAATTAACTATGTGTTCCTCACACATATAACTTCTCAAACATATAGAAGTCCGTTATTCCCTCCTTTATGTGGTGAAAATTACTTTTATGTGTCTTTGGCCTGGACAAAAACAAAGTAGACAGGGGCGCGCGGCGAAGCTATGGCGATTACGCGTGGACACCGTCAGAAAGTGTCCAATTAAGTAGCTGCCATGTCGAGTAGAACATGAAATACTACTTCGTTTTAATTAAAAAAACAACCTTGGAGGACACTTAAGCTTCGCCTTTAAAAGTGGAACGCGCCAGCGTTAATGGGCCTCGTTCGCACAGCTGTCTCATTCGCAGTGCAAGCGTGCCTCGCTTGGCCTAGTTTGGAGCGTGTCTGACTCGCAACCGAAGAATCGTGGGTTCGAATGCCGCCTAAACGTCTTCAAAGTTTTCTTTAAGGCAAAGGAATTACTTGAAAAAAGTCAAATCATTTGAGACATACGGCGACCTTTAATTTGCATCGCACATTACGTTTTCATCACTTTCATTACACTCGTGATGTCACGTTTCACGTGAGCATGGGGGGTTGTTTGAAATTCCTGCGCAAGGGCATGTAGCTGTAACGTCATGGCCTCATCGACCAATCAGGATTTTCCAGTTTCGACATCGGCTCTTCTGCGACATGAGCTTCTTAACGATGTCGCGTTAAAATCATCAATTAGCAAGGGTGATGCTCATTTGCAACCTGAATTGACCGGTATCTTGTCAAGAACAAACCTCAACAGCCAAGCTATGCCAGCGTATCCTGTATAAGATGTGCACTTGGGCAAGCTCTATTTTGGGCCAGGTTCGATCCGAGAGTGAAGGTGCGTGTAGATTAGAGTGAACAATTTCGTATACTGCTTTCTGCACGATTTGTCGTATGCATCGCGGTGCTGAGTGTAAAAAATGTTTGGTTAGGAAAACAAGCAATGTGATTGCCGCCCGGTGTTTCTATAAAAAATAAACTGAAATAAACTAATTGACTAACTGAAAGAAAACGCACGTTTTGTTTGCCGTCTTTTTTGTCCTCTTTACCGGAATGCAATAAAACTTTTTCACAGAAGTGTCTTTAGGGCAACGTTACTAAAACCCTCAGTTGGGAAACTCACCGTTGGAACATGGGCCGCTGGAGTCCACTGAGACCGAGCTAAATCCGACGACAGCGCCACCCCTTATCATTTGTCTTTACTGTGGTCACCTTGAACTTTCAGACGCATGTTTTTTGCGTAAAACCCAACGGGAAAAAAACACTTTTTGTAGTGATTCTTATTGGAGTTTAGTACAAATTGAGGGCGCGTGATCTTTTTTAAAATCTTTAGTTTGCAAGGTTTGCAGCACAATTAATATTGTTTCCATACAACCATGCCTGAGCGGTGCTTTCAGGTAACGCGCCCCGACCTAGGTGCATCTTAGCTTTGGTAGTAATTCGCGGCGCGTCCGCTGGAGGGACGGGGGTGGCGCCCCTGTAACATCTTCCACCGTATCTGTTTCGGCGCCATAATGGCCGATTAAAGCCAAAACAGAAGTCACGTGTAGTTCCTCGAGTAGCCGCTGCCGGAGAAATGGCGGCGTTGTGATCGCCATTAGCTCGGTTCTGGAGGACGGGTCGGTGCCACTTTTTCAGAGCAGTCTCTATGGCAGTTTCCCAACTGAGTGGTTTAGTAACGTTGCTTTAGGGGCTGTATTTATCATGCTCGAATCTCATGGGTGTAGATAAAAAAAGGCAAGCAAAATGATAAAAAAAGAAAAAGAAGAGTTCTGTTATTCCTTTGCCTAGGGAGAAAAACGGAAACAAAGTCTGGTTGACGATGTAACTTACAGTTGGTAGGACGCTCGCTCGGATCTGGAAGATGTGCTTTCGGGTGCTCATTTCAAAGAGGCTCTCAAGTTTGTGTTTCAGTAAGTTACAGTTTCAACCAGACTGTTTGTTTCCGTTTTCCTCCCCGTGCATATAGACCATTCCATTTAGCGCTCTCTGGGCGGCACCATTTTGTTCAACCGCAGCGCCCTCTCCACACATCCGGGAAGTTCAGCGGGTTCGGCGGGGTAAAACGAGGGAGAGGGCACGCGCCCGGCTCCGCTAGCAGACGACAAACCAGGAGGTTGCCGTTCTCCATCTTTGGGCTGTATCGGCGGGCTCTACCGAACATCGAGCTCTCGCTCGTGGCTGCCGTTGTGAAGTGGTTCGCGTTCTTAGAATAGTTGGAGCTAGTCCAAATTCAGCCTATAGCTCTCTGTTCTAGTTCGGTCAATGATCAACTAGCATAACTTTTTTCGTTAATTAAATAGCAGCTAGTTGAGCCAGCCGGCAGTACTATATCCTCAACTACTGCGTGTATTGCGGCAGGAGAGCACGTTTCATTTATTATTTCAGACTTCCACTCATGGTCGCTAAAGGCCTTCACCAGTACGAGCTTTTGTACAGTAAAAAAGGTACAGCAACCGGAATTTCTTTTCGCCAAAGAGACCGGCCAATCTGACACGGTTTTCCCTATTTTTGTTTTTTATTTGCACGCAGGTAACAGCGCAATTGGACCCTGTGAGTCTTTTTATCTAGCATAGTGTTACACGATAATTGGCATACCAAAATCAGCGCATCTGCGCTTGAAAGTTCCAAAATGACGCGATTTTAAACAGAGTTTGCACGCCAAACGGACGCTAGCTACAGCCCACTGGGCGGAGCGGACGATATGCGGGGTGAGAGGGGGAGTGCATTTTTTTCTCTTTTACCCTCTCTGTTATGACCTTAATGGAACGGTCTATAAGTCGGTGACGGGAAAAGGGTTCAGGGGAAGCTCCTCCCACCTCTTCCCCTTTAGGGAGTTCGCCTTCTCTCCGGCGTTTGCTCTGCCAATGGGGAGAGAAGTGGGAGGAGCTTCCACTTTACTCTTAACCTGTCACCGACTATAGGAATAACTAAATTTTTTTGCTTGACTTTAAAAAAAAAAAGTGTTTCCTATATCTAACATTTTAAAAGCCCTTAGCGTTGAAAATGCTGACTTAAACTTATTCGAGCCAGTAGGTGACGCTGAACTTTTAGAATTATGTATTCCGGAACGCTTGTGTGCTCACTCACGATGGGTAAAAATAACATCTATACCATAATCAACGTCACAGCGACGCCATAATTGGAGCCATAACGTCGGCCTCCCATTGGCTGGAAGGAGCAAGGAGGTGAGTTACACCGGTGTTGGCTACACCCTCGGTTATTCCTTGCCTCGGGGTCTGGCCCTGCGTTATCTCTATTTTTAAATTCACTTTTTGCTATTGGTCTCTACCAGTGGTTCTCAACCATTTATGTTTCGCGGACCCCTTGCGGACCGGCAAACATGGTGGAGGACCCCATTCGTAGTTAGGGGAAGGGAGAGGAATTGGTTAATTATGGTAATGGTTTAATAAATGGATATAACTAAGGGCTAGTGTGAAGTAGACTTCTCTCATTCACATAGACACGAGGAAACTCACCCGAATGTTAGAACGTTTCTTCTCAATCTGAAAAATAGACAACATATTGCCGGGCTTTACTGATGAGGCAGGGCTTCGCGGTCCCATAGAATGCTTTCGCGGACCCCCATGGGAGAACCACTGGTCTATACAATCAGTTAAAATAGCACAGTGCAATTTTTGTAATATAGTTTTATTTGAAAGCATTCAATATTAGTTCTTACGTGTAACAAGATGATTCAATAAACCGTGGTGATATGCTAACATCATGGCGTCGGGATAACTCTAGCGTAATGTTATGTACTGTGCACAGTGGTCCATTCGTATAAGTCTCGACACTGTCATTTCTCTAAAAAAAACAGAATGATGAAGGACCGAAAAAATATTTTTTGAGAGCGAATTTCTCTGAACGTCACGCTGCATAGAGCGGTTCATCTTTCTTTTCATCCTGCAAGAGAGTGTTTACAAACAAGAAGGCGTCCGACTTTATGAGGTGCACCGAGAACGCGTGCATAGACTCGTCGTCTTCCACCTCTTGTTCCAGCATAGATTTGTGCAGATCAAGCCCGGCATTTTCCGGTTTCTCAACTCCGCAGCAAGTTCGATAGTGGTGCAGTGCCATCTCATCTGCAGGGATCCGAAGTTCCCGGACACCTGGAACATGCTCAAACACGAAGTGGACTCCTCCAACGACCGTGGCTTTAGGCCTGGTGATGTACTTGGATCGAACACGGTGGTTCCAAGGCATCTTTTCACGCATGGTCGCAATTTGTGTTAGCAGGGGAGGCCTTTGTCGGAGGAAGGCAGAGTTGTAAGGGTACTCGGTGCAGAAGAATAGATTCTGAATGACCATGCTGCCTAAATATATCTTTCCGATTTCTGTCTCTATGCTGCGAAGTGCTTCGAGAATAGTAGGCTTCTTCTTGGGGACAAGAAATTCGTCAAAATCTACGATTATGACATACTCCGAAAGTGATCGTGAGCGGTAAATGCAGTCCTGGATAGCGGCAAGTTGCCCATTCTGCCAGATATCAAACGTCTTGAAGCTAAGATTCCACTTGTGCAACTGGATTAGATCGCCCGAATGATTCTTCAGACGAGACAAGAGAAGTTCGGCTCCTTTGGATAGGCCAGATATGTAAAAGTCAAAGCGTGCGACGCCCATAGAAGTGTAGTAACCGATGAACTCCGTCATTAAAGATAGCTCGTTAAATTTTGCGAAGGTTGGTTTTACGCAGACGGAGCACAACTTGAGGGACTTGGTTCGCGTCTGGTGGGCTTTTACCCATTTCGGTTTAGTCGCGTTCCAGTGGGACCCTAGAGCAACTCGCAACGTTGAATTGTGTCTGAATTGGGACGGGAGGTTTACGGGACACGTGAAAAGGACGGCTGCATAGGCTAAACCGTGGGATTCTGGTATATATTTGTATTCTACTTTTTCACGATACACCGCTGTTCGGGCCTTGACCCAGCACTTTATGTCTTGAGGTGTTTGACGTATCACTGTGAGGTTGCTTCGAACAACACTGATCAAGCGTATTTGCCATGTCCCCATTTCACCTTTCTCCAAAAACGCCGAATACACGAACACATCCGGGAGCACTTCAGTCCAGGCATCGTCGTCATCGAATAGAAGCTTTAGTTGATGGTTAGAAGTGACCAGTTTGGCAGCAAGGGCTTGATTGAAGGACTTGATAATCGACGTCACGTGACGGTGGTTTTTATTAAAACAGGTGTACTTATTGGAGGCTGGAAGAAAGGAGAGTCGGAGCATGAGGCCACTGATTTGCCGATGGGAAACTACACGTTGTAAGAAACTAGGAGCGTCCACTTTTTCGCAAAGCACCGGGGAGAACTAATCGCTGTAACCTACGGATGAAGCTCGGCCAATGAGAAGGCTGAGAATATGTCTAGACCTAAAATAGCATTCTGCGCTGCGGTACCGAGCGTGGCGTTTCATCATGCCCAATGCCAGAGTGCATACTTTTTCCAGGCCTAAACATCATCAGCCTTGTCATTTTACAAGCACTTTGCACGGGTGAGGACGTTCCGGGTGTTTTTTAGAGTGAATATGTCGATAGATTACTAGAAAGTACTAAGCACCGTAACTCGTACGTTAATTGCTCAAAAAGGTTGGACTACTGGCTACCGCGCTTGAAAACAAAGACTTTACTTGGCCCTAAATGTAACATGATTTTTCTTTTGTTACATTTAACGTCGAAGAAATGGGTGGCCGTCCTGAACCTAGAAGGTACGAACACGGCAGAAACAGTAAAACAAACGGCAGCAGCATCGACTGACGAAACTATACTCCCTTCACCCCTAAGCTGAGACTGCGGTGGAAGCCACAAGCGCGTTAGATCAGTTATACGTCGACCCTTCTCCACATGATCACGCTCTCGCCCAAATCTTTGCGCGTAGAGCTGGGTCAGGTGATGAAATGGAGACCGGTCGGTTGGTCTCAGCTTAGGGGTGAACGGAATATGAGATGCACTCAGTCTTGGGAGAGGTAATAGAACCTTCCGATATTGAGATTTCTGTAGTAGCACTCAAAGCAGCCTTACCGTTCCTGTTTGAGCGATAGTGACAAAGTTCCCGAGTTTTTTTTTATTAATTTACAGTGGTAAATGTTTGATTGTCAGTTGTCTACTGCTCGTTGGAGTTCTGTTTGATTTTGAGTGCTTTCATGCAGAATTTGCATGATGCTGTCATTTAACTACTCGGCTGGGCGCTGAACAAAGTGTGTAGCAGCAAGCGTGACAATATATTGGTCACCGCTCTGGATGCATTCATATACTATCATTTGTCCTCCCGACACTTCTGAATTGTGATATAAATACTTGAAACTCGGGTAAGAACAGAGTCGGTTTTGAACACGTTAATTATAAAAAGTAACTAAATACTTTTACATGCTACTTGGTCAAAAGAGCAACAGCAATATTTAAGTTTTACCTTTGCTAAACGTAACCAATTATTTACTTTGTACCAACAAAAATGATCGAAATTCAAGAAACGAGTTACTTTTAAAGCATTAGGCCCACGTACTGCGCAACTCACCTTTCCGAGCGCTCAGAGTTCTGATGATGTAGGCGCCTGGGGGCCCCACAAGAAGTAAGGAGATGGCCAGTCGCGTGAGCAGGCGGTGCAACCGCCTTCCGTTGATTACTTCGGAAAACCGGCCTGTAAAAGGTATTATTTATTTTAAAATACTGCCAATCTTATTGGGCTTTTTGCAGGTATTGGAACAAAAGAAATATGCTCCAAAAGAAAGATATAAATAAAAACGAAAAACGAACAAAAATGTCGCATCATTCCTGTAACCAAAAGACAAACATATCACATCAAAAATTGAAAAAGTTGTTGTTTTTCAACAGTATCACTAAACAATTCAACACTTGTACAACTAAAAAAGTCCCTATCTGAACTGTTCCAGTCTCTTATGGCTGAAGGAAAACATTAGCATTTAAAACTGTTGTTATTGGAGGAATACTCAACGAATGTGTCGCTATGTTGATGTCGAGCGGCTCTCACTTCCGATCGCTTAACGTACTTCTTTGTATTTATTTTAGATGCATGGTTTAAGAAATGGAACATAAATTTCAATCGACCGAGTTTTACACAATCAACGATAGTCAATAAACCCGTTTTCTGTTGCAGTTCTGTCCGTGAATCGAAACGACTGTATTTGTGGTAAACGACTTTTTTTCTCTGGAAACTTTCTATAATACTTATATTCTTCTGCGTATCTGGGAACCCGGATATATTTGCGTATTCTAGTACTGGACGCATAAGAGAGGTATTTCTTGAAATATTTATTTCATGAATTGGAAACTTTAACCTTCTCTACAAAATGAATAATTTTGCCAGGGCTTTGTTTGTTATATATTTAAAGTGTGCGTTCCAGCTTAGGTCGGATACTAATATGATACCAAGATACTTATAATCAGTGACCCTGCGGAAGTATGCACCATTAACACTGTATGGAAACTCGAGAATATTCATTTTTTCCTCGTTAGGCACATCGTAATGGTTTTGTCAGAATTAAGAGCCATTTGCCAGTTATCACACCAATCGGTTATCTTTTTTAGTGAGTTTTTTTAGAAGAATTTGGTAAGCTTGGTTTGTTATTTCTTGATAGATGATAGAGTCGTCGGCAAAAAAAAATTATATTTGCATCGATACCATAGCAATGTCCTTTTTATAGAGAAGAAACAGGATTGGGGCCAAAACAGTGCCTTTCGGGACATCAGACTACCTTAGCTGGTCGAGAGACGTGTCCTTCAAACATACAAAGTGAAACCAATTGTCTAGGTAATCTTCTATTTACGATACTATAGGACCCTCACCCATGACCTGTGTAAGTTTTTTTTAAGAAGTTTTACGTGTGAAACATGGTCAAACACTTTTGATAGATCTAAAAACATTACTTCTATCTGGCGTTTATTATTTATACCCGTCGTGAAGTCATGGATAGTCTCGACCAGTTGCGTAACAGTTGATAGTCCACTCCTTAGTCATGCCGCTACGCGCATAAAATATTGTGTTTATCAATAAATATCGTCATGAATTTAAGGACGATCTGTTCGAGGAGTTTACGGCACCTGCATGTAAGAGATATAGGTCTATAGTTTGAGGCCAATGAGTATTCGCCGGATTTGTGAGTAAATACAACTTTTGCCATCGTCCACTCAGTTGGCACAGAACAGCTGAGACATCTGTTAAAAACTAGCACTAAATATTTACTAATCCATTCGGCGTACCGTTTTAGGAACATATCTAAAATTTCGTCGAGACCGTTATTTTTTTTTTGTTTCCAGTTCAAGCAGTAGTGCAAGAACACCTGGCTCAGTGACTGTTAGGCTTCCTAGCCCTTCAGCGTCATTATTTTGAGCTAGAAAGGTAACTATGTTGCCTTTGTCAGCCGTATAAACGGACTCAAAGTAGCTTTTGAGTTCATCTGCCTGTTTCTCTTTCTCTGGGGGTCTCATACTAGCGTTTTTTTTTTTTTACTTTTTTGTGTTAATGTGGTTCGAAACATTTTAGGGGATGCTTGCAAAAACTCGCGAAGGGTCACGCTGTACTTTTGTTTAGCTTTTTTATTTTTAATTTAAGCAAACTCGATTGTTTCGAAAGCTTTGTTTTATAATCTCACTAACGAGTGTTTCATGCAAAATATTAGAACATATCGTCTCCTCTCACTTGGCTACCTTTTTAGAATCTAACAACTTCTTTACATCGGCTCAGCACGGATTCAGAAAATTATTTTCATGTGAAACTGAACTCGTCTCTTTTTACCCATGATTTTCATCGCTTTCTTGACTCTGGCTCTTATACTGGATGTGCTTTTTTAGATTTCTCGAAGGCATTCGATAAAGTTTCTCATTCTCTACTACTTCAGAAACTCCTCGTCTTAAATATTGACCCTCACATACTCGATTGGATGAATGCCTTCTTAACTAATCGTCTACAGTTTGTACGGGTTAACAATAACAATTCTGGTTTAGCGTCTGTTCATTCAGGGGTGCCTCAAGGCTCCGTAATTGATCCTTTATTGTTTCTTATTTATACTAATGATTTAGTATCTAACATTTCTTCACCAGTCTTTCACCAGTCTGCATGTTCGCTGATGACTGCGTTCTCTATCGCAAGATCACTGACCAATCTGACATTGTTCATTTTCAAACAGATCTTAACTACATTGCTAGCTGGTGCGATGCTTGGCTAATGGAATTAAATACGAATAAATGCAAGTCCATGAGAGTATCGCGCTCTAACATTACATGTCCTATCTGTTACAAGTACCTCGGCGTCTATATAACCTCTAATCTTTCATGGAATACCCATATTGAGCATATTGTTGGTAATGTCAACCGTATGTTGGGTTACTTAAAACGCAATTTTTCTCAAGCACCTTCATCGCTAAAACGTATAATGTACAAGTGTCTAGTCCGCTCTAAAGTGGAGTACGCTTCATCTGTGTGGGATCCCGGCCAACACTGTCTTGTCACTGCATTAGAAAGCATTCAGAATCGGGCAGCTCGATTTATCTTATCTAACTATCATCGTACTTCCAGTGTAACATCTATGAAAATAACTCTGTCATTACCTGACTTATCTTCCCGCCGTAAATGTGCTCGTCTCTCCTTATTTCATAAAATCTAGCATCACAACTCACTTTTACGCCAGTCCCTCATGCTCGAACCATCTTATCGCTCTGCTCGCCTTGATCATGCTCATAAGGTTGGCATACCAAGTTACAACACTAACGCATTCAGTATGTCATTCATACCTCGTACGTCAACAGATTGGAACCGCCTTTCCGCTTCAATTGCCTCCATCACTGACGTTTCTCTTTTTAAACAAGCACTTGGTAACAGCACCCTTAGTTGACCGATTTAATTGCCATCATTTTTTGTGTCCACTCCCCTCTGAAATGTACTATGTACCTTGAGGGTAAATAAATAAATAAATAAATACATCTGCGGTTCTGCAGTCTGTAATCGGATACTTTTTAGATGACTTTCTAAGGCGTTTTATTCGACGTTTCAGGTGGATAATCTCACGGGTTATGTATGGGCAGAGATGGGCAGTATTTCAAATACAAGTATTTGAAATACGTATTTCAAACACTTTGTGTATTTTGGATTTGTATTTAATTACAAATTGGGTAATATATTTGACGTGTGTATTTAAATACTAAAAAGGGGGTATTTCAAATACAATTTTAATTAAATACCATTTTGTGGGCGAAAATATATCGCTCAAATTTATTGTCACTGTCCAGAGCAGGAAGAAAACTACGTTCTGCACCGAATGCAGTGTCTCTCAATCAAGCACAAGCGTTTAGTGACTTTGTGATTACGGTGCTAGTCCAGGGAAAGAATAGTGACGAAATCGACGTTCACAGGCAGACTGGCTAAATTTGTGCCTGTGACAACTTGTGATGCTTTCCAGCCTGATTTCCATTCATATTTTTGCCTGGAACATTCTAAATGCGCGGATCGTCCAGATTTTTGTAACTGGTGTGAGTTGCAACGATAAAACATTCTCTGGCTAGTGCTGCGCTTCTTGGTCGTCTCGGTTTTTTGTTGGTCTATACCAAAATATAACCGACAAAAAAGAAAAAAACTGCTTGAAGCTCTGTACTTTTTTCACCTATTACGTCCAAGCTGATTACATTTTTTTTGTTGTTATATTTCTATTGCTTTACTTGAGCCTCGCACACTAACTCCCGAGTGTGCGATGCAAAATTAAAATGAAATTCCCGGAAACCCGTTGCAGGTGCCCTGAAGTCGCTGACGCAAATTTTGAGGAATGTGTTTGGAAAAGTATTTGGAGGAGACCAGATACATTTGGTTGTATTTGTATCTTGTACTTAAATGCTTTTTTGGAAATGTAATTAAATTTGTAAATAAATACATTTTTGACAAAGTATTTTGTATTTGTATTTCGATACATATTTGCATGTATTTTGCCCATCCCTGTGTATGGGTTATGTTTTCTTATCACGTTACGTTTTTTTGGGGGACAAACTGGTTAATGCAATGATTTAGAATTGCTTTGAACCTGTACCATATATCATATATGCTAAAGGAATTACAATCCGACATTTCGCGAAAGTCAAAGAATTCAAGCACAAGGTAAGTAGGACAGGTGCATCATCAGAAGTGTTAAAATCAAGGGCATAGGTAGTACAACGATAAGAGAGCGCAGAAGCGCGTGCAGGTATGGCACGTGCAATTGTTTTATGACCTGATATGCCATCCACCACATCTACATCTGTCTGGGCTTGGGTAAAATGGTCACTAAAAAGTACCAAGTCTAGTAGACTACAAGGCGACCCGTGCACGCGTGTTGGCTCCCTGACGACTTGTGTAAGGTTAAATGTAAACATAATGTCAAGGAAAGCATCTGAGGTAGACGTGCCCGGATGCAGCAAATCCCAGTTTATCTTTTAAACACTTTGAAGACTGCCACCGTCATAGAGATTAACTCTTCTATTTTTCTTTCCTGGATTATTTGGTTTCTCACCGGCATTGTCGAGTAGACACGCAGGAACGGTACCCCTTTCTCGCGTACATTACGAAGCCGTGCAGCATGCAGATCAACATATAGGTACTCATAGTAGCAAGACGAGGAACAAAACACAAAAATAAATCTCCATGAACACACGCGAAGTT